GACAAGATATTATGCTCGATTTCTTCCTGTAATGCTAGACAACTACCAAGATCACACATGAAGCAAAGAATATTTTCTATGACCCTTCAGGTCACATGAACATCTGATTTCCTTCGGCAGCTCTTAGCTGCCTACTCCAAATAGACGTCATTGAGGGCTTGGATTCAAAAGGCCCTAGTAACGGGAGGTTTGTATACTGGACAGCAGACTTGGCCATGAACGCAGTGTCCCTCATCCCACAACRTCCTCCCTAGTAACATGCGGGCGGTGGCACCTGGAAGATCAGTTTGGCTGGCTTCCGGATTGGGGTAAGGCTTGTGGCTGGCTGGTGAGATCCATTAGGAATTATTAAATGTCATCCAAAAGGGAGAGATAGGACCTATCATTACATAGTAGTTAAAAATAGATACAATATTTTGGAACAAGTAATTGGACAATGTGGCCTTGAATACAGCTTTGTCCTAAAAGAAAAGTTCTTCAGTAATCCCCAGAAGCAAGGCTACTAAATATCAGGGCCTTCAGAGGAGAATGGAGTGTTTCCACCTCAGGCCACAGTGCTTATCCAGAAACCTACTGTATAGCACTTAACCTACACGTTTTACAGACAATTCTGTCACAACTCTTGTGACTCCAACAATCTCCATAAGATAAACATGACCAATTCTATTTTAGGGATGATAAAACCAAGACCCAGAGAGGTAAAAGAACTTGCCTGAGGCCACACAGTCAGTAAACTACAGAAATAGGACTCAATCCTATACTGCCCCAAGTCAACAATCCTTTCAAGGAAAAGGCAAGTTTTCAATCCTTTTTGTGAAAAGCTATAATCATTTATCCATGACTAAAATGTCACTCTGAAATCTGCAATCTAGGCTGCTGAGGTGTTCTTCATGTCAATACAGGGGTCAAGTGTCCTTAATATATGCAGCTAGTTTGAACTCTGACAAGTCCAACAGGAAAGTTGGCTAGGAAATCAGGACAGACAAGTTCTGTCCCTTCTTTGGGGACCTTGCATAGTCTCCTTATTTCTAGTTTTCTAGCTTCCACCCACCTCCTGGCTCCTATTCATAGCAAAATTCCTCAGAAAAAGCCATCTTTATTAATGGTTCTCTGGTTTGTCTGTGCAGCTGAGCTTTTAAAAATGATAACAGGACATTTCTGGCTTTGTTCACTTGGTCTCCTAGGTGTACAATGAGGTTTTCCAGAAGTTGCATGAAGCAATGTCACACTACAATTATATTGTAGAAGCCAATGTGAATCTAGTTTGTGTGTGTGTGTGTGTGTGTGTGTGTGTGTGGTGCTGGGGATTGAACCCAGGGCCCTGTGCTTGCAAGGCAGGTGGCACTCTACCAACTGAGCTCATATCCCCAGCCCTCCAGCTGACTACTAAGGCAGACATTAAAGAGACTTGCGAACACACAAAAGTATCTTACTACTTTCTAAATATGTTTCTGAAAATGTTTTTCATAAAATATTAGCTATGATGTTATTTATTCATTCAAGGGTGACATTTAATAACATTTCTCAGTTTTAATTTTTAACAAATATCCACTCGTAATTCCAAACAAAAGTTCCCTGGAGCCTACTCCCTAAACATTGAGAGTAACTGATCAATTTTCTATCTCCAAACCCTCTCATGCCTGCTCAAATCTACTCTAGTTAGGGGTCAGAATTATTCCACCAAAACTGACCAAGATCACCAATGGCTTCCTGTTTGCCACTGGTTTTAACCAATGGCCACTATTTAGAGTAGTCCTCTGGACTCCTCTCCCAAACTCCAGAGTTGGCCAACTCCCTACTCTACGTCAGTACTTGAATTCTAAAATGGTGTGCCAAGCTGCGGAGGACTAAACCCAACTTTCTCCATCCAAACCCATTTCCCCAATGTCTCCCCAATTCCCTTGATGGCAACTCTATACTTCTAACTACTTAGGCCTAAACCTTGAAGCCATCCTTAATTCCTTCTCTCAGACCTCATATCCAATCACAGGAAATCTTGTTAGTTCTGACTTCAAAATAGACCCCAAATCCAATCATCCCCTCCTGGCCTCCACTGTTGCAGGCTGCCATCATCTCTTACCTGGATTGCAGGGGACTCTCGTTTCATCCTCTCACTTGCTCCCCCCATGGCTTATTTTTAGCACAGCGAAATACTCTTACAGTAACACACCCCAACGGCTTTCCATTTCACCCACACCAAAAGCAAAAATGTCTATCATGGCCATCATGGCCTTCAAGGCCTCCGCTGTTTGACTCCTAGCTACCTCTGCATCTTCTTTTCCAATCCTAGCTTCTTGGCTACCATCTGGCTGCCAGGCCTTTATACTGGCTGTAGTCTTTCTGTCTGGGATGCTCAAGAAATCCAATTCCCTCCTTCAACTCCCAACCTTTGCTCAAAGGTCACTGTCTCAAGGAGACTCGCCTTGACATTCCACCCACCTCCCAACATTCTCTTTCCCTCCTCCACTGGTGCCTTCTTCAGATGGCCTGTATTTACTGCACGTTTTCTCAGCAAAATATAAACTCAACTGCAAAAATGTATTCTATACACCAATGTACTGTCTGTGCCTGAAATGATATCTGGCGATAGTTTCTAATAAATACACAGAGTGAATAAAATCAGTTTTTCAGRTGGGCCCCTGAATTCAATGTTTTCAGCTCAAGCCCGATTCTCTAACCAGCCAGATCCAGTTCACCTATGGGTCAACAAATGGGAAACTTCTAGCACCATAGTTCAGCTCTAGTCACAGACTTAGGCCTAGCCCACAGTTCTAAGTGCCCGGCTAGCAAAGGGTAAGTCAGGCCAATGAAACTGGCACCACCAGCACAGTACTAATTAGCTGTGAGAACCTCAAAGTGGGGCTGGGGATGGCTCAAGTGGTAGYGCGCTCGCTGGCATGTGCGGGGAGCTGGGTTCGATCCTCAGCACCACATAAAAATAAAGATGTTATGTCCACCAAAAACTAAAAAGAACCTCAAAGTGAACTGACCAAATGGCTGGCCTGGGATACTCGCCTGTAAACAAGTTCTGAACCTTTTCCCCTCTTCTCAAGGTTACCTTTCTTTCTTAGATGAGGGAATCACTCCTAAATAGGAGTGAAAACTTTGCCTTTGCCCTGTAAAGCAGCTCAGTCCCAAGTGTGGATAACCAAAGGGGAACACTGGTCTCAATTAGCTGTGACAACCTTACAATCCTAACCCAAATTTAGGTCTCACTTCCAGTGACAGTGTTCCTCCTATACAAGGGCAAACTAAGAATTCTAAGAGGGCTTTCAAAAGCAGAAAAAAACAGAGATGGACCTGAGAAGTGACAGCATGAAATGCAGTTCAAACACTGGCTGGCACGCCCCCGGTCTCCAATATAGCATGACCATGGGCCTCACTTTGGGAATGCAACCCTCTCACTCGATGAGCCACAGACAAATTAGCCTGGCAGTCTGAGGATGGAAGCATTAAACCTAGGTACTTGCTCAAAAATATATTCACTGATGTTAACCAGTTCCTTTTAGTTCAAACCAATTCCCCTAGAAATCAGGTGGAAGAGGACGGGAAAGAAGGGAGTAGGRCTGACTCGGCTGACGGAGGCCTGGGCTGAGGGGTTCAGAGGCTCCTTCCTTGTGACCCACTGGGCCTAGCACTAGCCCCCATCACCTCATCGTAAAGCTCGTCTGGGACAGCTCATTTCCACACTGACCTTAAGGGGGAGAAAGTGGGGCTGCTCGAGTAGCACGTTCCTGCTCTAAACTTCGTAGGATCTTAGATAACCACTTAACCCTTGCACGGTTGTCAAAGTGAAGTGAAATGGCACATGAATATGTCCCCCTCATAGAGGTCAATTTCTGATCTACTTCCCCTGCCAGCTCAAGACTCCAGTCTGGGCACACAACTTTGGACTTTCTACCTATTAACCTCCGTCCACAGGTTCCCTCTCCTGGCAGGTCCCTGTTCTTCCTCACTAACCAAAACTACTCTTGTGTCTCTCATGTGCCAGGATCTCTCTGGCACCAGGTCCTTTGCAGAAACTGATCCTTCCACCTGGGATCCTCCCTGCTACCCCCAATTCCCTATTCTTGCCTCTTAGAGGTCAACTGCCCTTAGTGCTTCCTGCATTCACTACCAACAACTATGACAAATACTGATCAATGCTTTGCTCCCTACTTCAAGTTGTATGAAGGTGGGAAAGTTTGATTTTGCTTATCATGTTACTCCAGAGCAAGCACAGTATCAACAAATGAACCCACAATAATTCTGCTGAGCAAGAAAGAGACTTCCAGCAGGGTGAACGCCTATAATCCCAGTGATTAGGAGAAGCCAGGAGGATCTTGAGTTCAAAGCCAGCCTCAGCAAATAAGCAGAGTTCTAAGCAACTCAGTGAGACCCTGTCTCTAAATAAAAATGGCTGGGGATGTGGCTCAGTCCCTGGTACTGAAATAAAGAGACTATTCATTACTATGTTCTTTATAGTGTCTAAAATGGAGACACTATTATCTAAAGTAGGAGAATGGTTAAATTATGGTCTATATAATGTGCTGTCATAAGATCACTGAAAACCACATATTCCAAGTATGATGAGGAGATGCTCAGACCAGCATGGAGTGAAAAGAGCAGAAGATCAGTTAGTCTTCACTAGTGAGAAGACCAGTGAGAAGAGCAGTTAGGTGACCTGTGACCACAATCAGATCTAAACACTGGAGAATCGGATGTGTGAACTGGAGGGTTAGGATTAGGCCACGCTTACTTCCTGAAGTATTATAGCTCTTTTGCATTTATTACTTGATGGGGTGTGATGGGGTGTTCCTGAAGAACTTATAAAATTCAACCCCAAAACAACACCCTCAAGAGACTTCCCTATGCTTCCCAATTTGTCTCCAACAATCCCACCTATCTCTTCATCAAGACTTGGGGGGAGATAACAAGCCCTTACTTCTCACCAACCCTTCATTTCTCCCCCCAATTCTCCAGAGCCCACCCAGGGCCCAGGATGAMAAGAGAGCACTCACCTAGTTTAAAAACACCCAAGATGTTCAGCCCTGAATTTTAAGCAGCACATGTGACCTGGTCCATTCTGGTTTCAAGTTCAAAGGCATCAGGCCGGTCCTGTGGGTTAGCAGCTAACATATCTTTCAAGAGCTGCTTGATCCCCTCAGACATGGAAGTCCTACGTTTCTGGGGGATGTGCAACTCCATCTTTGGGTTTTCTAGCAGCGCCTCACCGACAGGGACGATCTCAGTGCCCTGTTTAATGTAGGTCCCCAGGAGCTCCTTCTTGGTCTCAGAGTCAATGAAAGTGATTCTTTCTATCATTGCCCAGATGATAATGCCTAGGGCAAAGATGTCCGCCTTGGCCGTGTAGTGTCCCTCCCAGACTTCAGGGGCCATGTAGAAGTCTGAGCCACAGGCTGAGGACAGCCAGTATTTATTCACATTCACATTTTTGTTGTCTTGATTGCCCTCTTTGCCTCGAGGTGCCAGCCCAGCACAGACCTTGCTCAGTCCAAARTCCGCCACCTTGAGGATGGGGGTGCCAGAGCGCTCTGTGATGAGGATGTTGTCTGGTTTTAGGTCCCTGTGTACGATGTGGTTTTTGTGCAGGAAGGCAATGGCGCTCGTGAGCTGTAGCATGAAACTTTTGTTGGTGGCTGGGTCCGGCCTCCGAGACAGAACGTATTGATTCAGGTCTCCACCTTCACAGAACTCCATGACAAACCAGAGATAGCAGGGCTCCTSGGCACAGCCCAAGATCCTCTCTCCTAAACCAAAGGACAGGAAAGAGTGTGAGATGGACATGTTCACATCACTTTGGAACCAAAGAATGCACTACGTTAAAGTTGAGAGAGTGTGTGACAAATAGCTCCTCCAATTCTAAGCTCACCAAGCCAACTCTAGACATTGAGGAGTGTTTCTACCCACACAGGGCGAGTCTAGGGATGGCACAGGGAGCAGAGACAGGTGTCAAGCACCTGGGGTATGGAGGCCTGGGTAGGAGCTCAATCAGGTTCACTGCTACATGATTGACTGGGAAGCCATTTTTTCCTTTACTCTTTCTGAACAGGGAGCATCATGCATTCATACCTCCCAGGGCTGCTGGGAAGAGGAGACAAGGTAAAGCACGGGAGCAGGCTATAGAGCGTTCGTTGTTCCCTGCTTCTATCATCACTGTTACTCCACACCAGGCAAATGCCCCTCCCTTCTTTGTGTGAGGACTCTATTGTTGTAGGGAGAATGGCACAATATTTCAGAACCCCTTCCAGCCCAGCAGTATCTTCTGCTAGCCCCGTACACCTAGTACAAATCAGGAAGGCAACACGTGCCTGRCTCTTCAAAGCCGAGTTTCAAGGAGGCAGGTACCCAGGACAGCAACCACTGGAAGCCGTGAGTCAGAAGAAGGTCAACCCCATCAACAATGGAGAGAGGGCAGGCCTTGCCAGAGGTGAAGGAGTCAGAAGGGGCAGGACCTAATTACCCTTTAAAGGTCAGACAGTGGATCAGAAGAAGAAGTAAGAAGGTAACTATGTTGAGAGGGCACAGACAATGGACACAGAAATGAACCACAGGAGGGATAAACAAGTCCCAGTATGATGTAGCCATCCTCCAATGACAGGAGCTGCACCTCCTCTGCCAGAGGCTGCTTTTCACGCCACCCCAGACAGCCCCGACATTACCAGACATAACCAAGGCACGTGGCCTACCAAGGGCCACAGGTCTGGAGTTCCAGGTTGAACCTTGGTTATTTGACAAAAGCTTTAGGTTTTGACCCTAACATACCTCACTTTCCCTACAATTATATAATTTATTTGTTTATATTACTCAAAGTAATACAGTCTAGGGCAGATGGCTTCCTTTTTTTAAAGATCAGTTGTTTCCCCTCTCATAATCCTCTTTCTAGGTCACTGGCAAGCAGGCTGAGGCTCTCTACCTAAAAACACTGCAAAATGAAGCAGCGACCTAAAGCCCCAATCCATCTAGACTCTGGAGAAAGAAAGCAAAAGGAGAAAGCAAAAGGAGAGTATGGTTTCCTGGTGGTACAGCCAGAAAGGAGAAGATTAAAAAGTCATCAGATTCCTTTTGCAAAGGCCACATCAGAAAACAGTGAAACTTCTGGTGGGGGAATGAAGGGTGGGGAATGATGATTATTTTATATACAAAGTTGGTAACTATGGCAACTGAAGGAGAAAAAAGAAAACAAGTCTACCAAACAGACCATAATGTCGGTCTAGGTTACAAGAATCTGGGGAAAGAAAAAGGGAGGGGGGGGCTCAAAAAAGTGCCTGAAGTTAGTGTGTAGGTGGGGCAGATGGGACCCCTGGACTGAGGGCCCTGCTCTGAGGAGTGAGCCAACCTCAAGAGATGCTGAAGGAGGGGCTGCGTGTGGGGAAGGGAAACGTTGGACAGAAGCATTTTCAGGAGCCGAAATGGCATCCGTGACAGAATGGAAAACCTGGGAGCCCAGCTACTTGTCCCAGAGACAGAATAACTCTGAACACGCAAGGGCCTTGGGTTTATTTCAGAAGCTGGAGCCCCACAGCTGCCCGCCAGAAAAACGAAGGAGGTTAGAATCCCAGCCCTCATTTCAGGCAGACTGCCTGCCTGGGCCTCCTGGCTACTTATGACCAGGGAGAAGGAGGGGACACGGACGGCACCCCACGYGTGGTGCATTCCTATGGTGAAGCAAGCCAGGGTGATGGCACCCCACACGTGGTGCATTTCTGTGGTGAAGCAAGTCTGGGTGCAGACCCCAACTCTACCCACTGGCTTGCTAGGTGGACTTTTAGCTTAAGGGAAAAGCGAGGTAAAGAAAATGGCTAGAGGGGCTGGGGAAAGAAAGCAAGCGGTAGCACGCTCGCCTGGCATGCGCGGGGCGCTGGGTTCGATCCTCAGCACCACATAATAAAATAAAGATGTTGTGTCCACCGAAAACTAAAAAATAAATGTTAAATTCTCTCCTCTTTAAAAAAAAAAAAAAAAAAAAAAAGAAAGAAAGAAAGGAAGAAAGAAAATGGCTAGAAACCTGGTCTCTGAACCCAAGTGTCAAGTCTTTTTTGGTGGCTCTGTCTTCTCATCGATCAAACAGAATACACCTACAGTGCACAATTGCCACGAATAAAATCACAGATTATATGAAATACATTTTGCAGAGGATAAAGACACTTTGAAGGAATCTCTCACTGACCATCACTAACCTTCTCCTTGCCACCCACCCCAACCAGGGCCTTGGAAGTCATGATTTCAATAATCTCAGGGCTGTAGGCCACAAAATAAAGTTCTCACGTTAGGTAGAAGATCAGAAGTGAATAATTCCATCATATTTCTTGTGGGGAGAGGGGGGTTAACAACTGAGACCTATGTTCTAGCTAGTTCAGGCTGCTTTTATTTGGGGTGACCCCTGTACCTAAAAAGACCCCCATCTCTGTCAAATGTATGCCAGAATTGCTAACTACAGCCACCAAACAAGCCTTCACAACCAAGTCCTTAAGATATAAGTGAATGTGCACCTTAAGGACAGCCCAAAAGCCATTCTACACTTGCCTGACTTCCCAGGGAATCTCCCCGTCTGGCCAGCCAAGGCCCTAGTTTATTTTAATTTTTATTAAATTAGACCAGATAAAGGAACAACCTGTGGCTCAACTTATATTTAGCCATGAGAAATGCTAGCTCATTTTGCAAATGCTGAGATAGGGGGTTAGATTTCTTAGTTCTCCAACCTCCCAGAGGGACCTACAGTCATTTACCAAATGTGCACTGGAAAAGAGAAAATTGTCAAGCTATCGGGGATTACTGTACACCGATTCTGAAATGACACCAATTTCTAAAGACCAAAATGGTGCAGTGGTCCATCAGTCAGAGCAGGGACTGATGTCAGGTGATCAATGAAATTTTAGTTCAGGACTATCTCAGAGCATCTAGTGGGTCCGCATCCTCACCTGTGGTTATTTTCCCAGATTCAAGATGGACAACTRGAATAGGCAACTCTTATAATGCAAGGCCAGTCTGGCAACTTAGTGAGACCCTGTCTGAAATTTTTAAAAATTTAAGAAAGGGCTGGGGAGGTAGCTCAATGGTAGAGTGCCCCTGGGTTCAATCCTTAGTACTAGGGCAATGGGGAGGGGGAGGGAGGATTAAGAGTTAAAAATTGATCCTCTGCTGGGCACGGTGGCTCATGCTGTAATCCCAGCAGCTCAGGAGGCTGAAGCAGGAAGATCATTAAGTTCAAAGCCAGCCTCAGCAACAGTGAGGCACTGTCTCTAAATAAAATACAAAATAGGGCTGGGGATGTGGCTCAGTGGTCAAGTGCCCCCGAGTTCAATCCTTAGTACAAAAAAAAAAAAAAAAAAAAAAGTTGAGCTTCCTTTCTAGAGAGGGAGAAAACATTTGAGAATGTTACATTGAAAGTAACAAGAATTTGAGGAAATGAACCCGAGCACTCACTGGGTTTCAGACACTATTTTACAATGTCATTACATGAGCCACCCCATCTCACCGAGTTCTGCACTTTTTCTAGGTGGGGAAATAAAGGGTGAGAAAGGCTAAGTACCTGCTCAAGAAGAGCACTACCGGGAGTGGATGGGTAGGATCTGAGCCTCCACAGCCAAGTCCATCTAATAGATAAGGCTGTCTCCCAGTTTGCAGAGAGCCAAGTCATGTACTTTGATTAAAGAGGCAGGCTCACCTTTGGGATAGTTCCCTCAAGTCTGATAGCAGGTGGCCACAAAATAATTTTATATTTCAAAACATTCTACATCATAGTTCACAAGAAGACAGAGAAAACACTAAACAAACCAAAGCAGGTGCAAATAAATTAGTGAAATCTTTCAATAAGATGTGGCCTGCGTGGCCGGGTACAGTGGCGTATGCCTATAATCCCAAGAGTTTGGGAGGCTGAGACAGGAGATCACAAGTTTAAAGCCAGCCTCAGCAAAAGCAAGCTGCTAAGCAATTCAGTGACACACTGTTTCTAAATAAAATACAAAACAGAATATGCCTCAGGGTCAAATGCCCCCGACTTCAATCCCCAGTATCCCCCTGCAAAAAAAAAAAAAAAGTGGCCTGTTTACTGAGAAACTTGAGGCCAGCAGTGTGAGCTTTGGAAAAGCAAGCACCTCCTAAAAAGAGATACAAAACACCCTGTAATTTATAAGCCAATTCCCAAGGCACCTCCAGAGGCAGGATGTCCAGTTTCTCATCTATTCCATTCAAACATTTCCTGAGCACACATGGCTTATCAGGCCCAAGATGAGAGACAGTTAAGATGCAGTCTCAGCCCCTACAAAGGCTGCTGGCTGGGAGAAGCACGATGTCTACAACTATAAGAACTAGCAAGGCCCAGTTCTGCCTGAGGAGTGGGGACAGAAAGAGAGAGAAAGGCAGGCTGAAAACAACTAAAGAGACTCTTCAGCTGTCTTCCAGGATAATGAAGGAAGGGACACAGGAGTCCAGAGAGTCAGAAGAGACACAGTGTTGGGCAGAGTGAGGCTGGAGACGTTCTGGGGCAGATGGAGATGCCAAGAAACAGGAAGTGAATCAAAAGTCTCAATGTATTTTAGAAAAATATATTGCTCACTGAGTCTAAGAAGTCATCAATTTTAGATATGCCACTTAAGCCCTTCTAGGCTGTTGACAACATTATGACATACCACGGACTAAGTCAACTTCTCATTTCAGGGATGGTAACGAACGTGAAGAGGAGTCTCCGTCTTAGATACAATGGAACAAGTTCTCTTTGGAGGCATGAGGGGATAGGGATGGAAGATAG